CCCATTGCTCCTACAACAGCAGTAATTCTACGAACAATTTCATTCAGACTGACACCTGCCTCAGCCAACGCTCCAGCCATCTAGATATAAACAGGAAAAAATGTTACATGGATCCCTCAACATAATGGTTTTAACAGGTCACAATTCAATACTGTACCCCAAAAAGTATGAGATGCTTCTCTCCTAAAAATAAAGGAAAATGCTTGTGAATAAAAGTGTTATGCTGTGATTCAGTGAAAGCACCATCCACTAGAATTTACCTGAAGTCTCTACACTTTATCTCTCCAAGAGTATAATAATTTGTACTGTGAAAATTCAATAATTCCAATATAGCATACTGTCATTTCAGGATTACATTTGTTAAACAATGGAATTATTTTAATAGGCTTTATTTCCACATACTGCCCCATGGGACAGTCTCAATTTAGTTTCATCTATATTAAAAATACATGCATTAACTTCATAAAACTATTTCCCATTTCATATGTGTAGAATTGTAATTTAAAAGTATATGACAAAAACCCATTACAATTATTAGTTGTTTTAAAATGTAAAAAAGTAATTAGTGCAATTAAATTAGATTTTAAATGAGATTTTCTAATGTATCTTGCCTCCAATTTCATTGCTCATACTTCTTGCTCTTTTTGTGTGCTTTGTTCAATGTTGAAAGGAAACAGCATGATAGGTGTGTCTATACTATATGAAAAATTAAGTTTTATTTAGGCAAAAAAGAGCTCATATAAAAAGTAGATTAAATACAAAACTAAAACATTACCAGAAAACTACATGATTTTTATTTTGTTAATTTTATATGATTATGTGCATTTATCCTCAAAGTAATAATAGTTGGTGATAGTATTATCCTGTTTAGAGTTCTATAGAGAATTGCAGTTATATTTTTAAAAAATGATATGATATACTCAGTTACATATAATCAGTTACTGAAATACTGTATTTTAAATATCACAATAGTAAAATCTGTACATTTACTGGTAACGTATTTCTTCATCTATTACTTTTCTTTTTTCGGTAGTCATTATTCTGTTTTTCCAAATGCTTTAATAAATTAAAAATAAGAAAGGATTTGCTAAAATGTATGAATCCTTGTAACTATAAAAAACATCAGCAGAAACAATCTAATTAAAAATGTTTTATGTATATTCTCTGAATAATCTCTGTGTTTAAATCTACACAGAACAATTTACAAAGTTTTCTCCATGTTCTCAAAACTAAACGTAGTGGTCAGTCACCAAATACTGATGCTGAAAGACAGCATGTAATGAATAGCAAGCACACATAAGACAAAGTACTTGGCACTATCTAACATTTTTCAATAGAATGTGTAGTTTGCTCTTGTGCAATAAAAGCATAGCCAATGACAATATTTGCCTTCAGTTCAAAGATGGACGACTCTTACCTTATGTACAAGTACTGTGCCACATAGGCCTCTCCTGCCAGTCTTTTTCTTGGTTGCAAAGGCAGTATCATCACCAATTATCACCATCTGCACAGAGATATCTTCTGCCTGTGCTTGTTCCAATGCCAGCCCAAAATTCAGGCGGTCTCCTGTATAATTCTTCACTATTAGCAATGTCCCAACTATAAAAGAAAGAACTGAATTGTCTTCTGTTCCTTATCCAGATGGGATGTCAGTTCACCAAAAATACTACCATACCTGCTCTTGCTTGTTTCACAGTCCGAATTGCTGCTAAAATGCTACCCACTGCAGGGGAAGTGAATACTGGACCAGCGACCACTGCAGTGAGCATTCCTCTTCCAATGTATCCTGTGGAAAAATGATAGACAGGATGGTATCGTGTCTACACTTGGAGTATCTTGCATCTTGATTTTTCTATGATTCTACTGAGCCTCAACATAAATCAGATAAATGAATCCCAGTCCAAGTCCTCACTTCTTTGTATACAAGACTGAAAAACTTTACAGAAGCCCATTTCACTAACCTGCATGTGCAGGCTCATGTCCTGATCCACCTCCAGAAATAAGTGCAACTTTGCCCTCTATATTCTCTAAGTCAGAACGTATTGCCACTCTATGTCCACTTAGAAGCTGAAGATTAGGATTGCAAGCTACCATTCCAATCAATGAATCATCCGCACAACTCAGAATTGTGTTCACTAGTTTCTTTGAGCCCTAAAATAAGGAGACATAAGAGAGTTCACATATACTTGTCCTTTTACAGAAAGCAATTCCAAATGTATAGCAGCTTAAATCTTTTACTTAGATGTCAAAATGAATGATGATTCTTCTGTCACATCTTTACAAAGACATATACAAATTGTATATGCTACTTGAATAGCACATCTCTTAATGATTACTTTGCACTAAATACTAAAAATAAAACATTACACAGCTGCTTATTAATACACACATATAAACCTTGGAAATTATTTCAGGAGAGAAGAATCTCAAGTATTTTATCACTTGAATTTGGACTTAAACAAAATCTTAGAGACTATCCATAGGCATGGTATAAAAAACTATGGTGAACAGAACTAACCACAGAATTCTCTCACAATTATTTTAATTCAATTCTCTAATGAAATTCAATTCGATATTTTTGCTGGAAGTAAAATGGAAGCTGCTTACTATTTCTACCCACAAAGGCTCTCAAAATTACTGAGTTGCCAATAGCAGCTAAAATACAACGAACTTGCTCTCCTACCAAGATGATATTCCGCTTCCTACCAATTGATGACTGATGAGTAACCTGTGATTATTGGAAGGAGCGACAATTATTTGTTGCCACTGGGATTGTGGTAGATCATTCAGTGCCAAAATTGCATGATATGCTGTGTAACTGAAACAATTAAATACATTTCTAACATATGTCAACAAACTCCCTCTGGATAATCAGGCATATGACCTATTAGAACAAACTGAGCCTGCCTTTAATAGTATTCTATGACAGCTTTATATAATCTTTATCAAACTCTTTCTATCAAGTATATATACATCAATGTTGAGGAATATGCTTCGTTTAGACCACGGGTTTCCAACCTTTTCTCTACCCGCACCCTTAGAACACTTCTGATATATTCTTGCACCCCTTACAAAAGTAAATAATTATATGCATATATATACCCTCATGCCCTAGTCACTTCCCGTCTTGATTATTGCAAAGCGCTCTACAAGGGGCTGCCCTTGGACAGCATCTGGAATCTCCAGTGTAAAATGCAGTGGCCTGCATGGTTTTGTGCAGACCCTGGTGTGCACGTTTCATCTCTCCTGTGGGAGCTGCATTGGTTGCCAATTTGCTTCTGGGTGCAATTCAAGGTGCTAGTTGTCACCTTTAAAGCCCTTCATGGCTTGGGACCAGGTTATATGAGGGACTGTCTTTTGCTGGTCACATCTACCCAACCCATCAGAGCGGGGAGGTAGGGAATGTTGCGGGTCTCATCCCTGAAGAAGATACACCTGGTGGGACCCAGAAGAAGGGCCTTCTCCATGGTGGCTCCCTCTCTCTGGAACATCATTCCCCCAGAGATTAGAACGGCCCCTTCTCTAATACTCTTCTGGAAGGCACTGAAGACCTGGTTCTGCCAGTGGGCCTGAGGAACCCAGAGTGGGAGGGCGCCCAATTAATGGCTCATGTGATCTGTCATCGGAGTGGGTGGGTGGGAGTTGGGGGTGATTTTCCCCCCCAGATTTTGTTCTGTTGTACTTTATTAATTTATTTGATTTTTTTTATTTAGTTTTATTGTTTTAAATATGGTTTTACATTCTGTAAGCCGCCTCCATGGGAAGGGGGGAATCTTTGTTAGGATCAAGACTCTGTTGTTACACAAGAACGTTATACTGGTAGTAGTCCTAGTGAGTCTCTTTTCTGACTTGGCCAACTTAAAAGGCTTATAGTATGTATATCAGTGTGAACAGCAGCTGACTGGTGATATCAGCATAGGAACTGCATGGATGGAGCTGTTTTTCTCTCATGGTTGCTTCATGGCACAATCCTCCTCACATTTTCAGTTGGGTTGATTTTGAAAACAGCTTTGAGTATTTTTCTGGAACAGTGCCAGACCTGTGTCCAAAAGCAGCCTACTTATCAGCTAATAATCAAGCCATTTTAGGCATGGGTTTAGCATTACTGTACTCCTCAATATCAGATGATAGTCAGATGTCCTTTGAATACATCCATACAAAACCAGAACGAATTTGATAGTTGGCTAAGCACAGTGTTCTAATTTTTCCAAACTCATCTCCTTCCTAGTCATATTAAGGAGAGCAATTGTTAAGTGTTTTCCTGCTGGCTGGTAATTTGGTAATAAGGGAAGAAATAGAGCTTCACTCTGATAATGTCAAGTAGTTCATAAAAATTCCAAAATGTATCCTACATTTTATAACAGTTGGCTTGTAAAGCATGTGTTCTTTTAGTTATTTTTGTACAACTGGTCAAAATGCTATTATTAAAGCATACGATTTGGATTAATCGCTGTGTTTGTGATCTGATAACAGTAGGTACTCTGTTCTAGTGTTACTGATCTTCCAAGTGTTTTGTAACTGTTAATGTTTATACATAACATGAGCCTGACCCCAAATTGTTGCAATACTATATGTTCCTGTTCTTTGTATGGTCAGCCCTACCTTTCTTCATTCCATTTTTATTTTACTTCCTTATATCTCCTTCTCATTTATTTTCTACCCATTATTTTCTGATTCCTTTAATATTGCCTCTTGCTGCCAGTTGGCTCATTATTTTGCAGTTAACAGTTAAGAATAACCGCTGCAAAAAGATTTTCATTAATAAAGGAAGTGCAGAAAAAGCAGAATACTGTATTGGAAAAAGCAAGAAATTCAAGTACCATCCATCAACTGCACCAGATGAGCTGGGTTTCTAGTAATTACTAATACTTCTAGTGTTTTAATTTATACACTGCTCCAAGGAAAGAATGGCTAAAGCAATGGTTCTCAGCATGGACTAGATGACTCCAGGGGAGCCATGCCACTTTTTTTAGGGGCCAAATCAGCATATATTCAGATAGTGAGGCTTTTTTATACTAACGCTAAGAAAGGAGTCACAGAGGTGATGAGGCTCAGAGCAAAAGAAGATTGAGAATTCATGGACTAAAACATATAAAACAGAGTTGGAAGGGACTTTAGAGGTCTTCTAGTTCAACCTCCAGCTCAAGCAGGAGACCCTATACCATTCTAGACAAGTGGCTGTCCAGTCTCTTCTTCAAAGCCTCTAGGGATGGAGCACCCGCAACCTCTGAAAGTAACCTGGTCCACTGGTTGATTGCTCTCGCTGTTAGGAAATTTCTCCTTATTTCTTGGTTGTTTATCTCTTCGATTAGTTTTCATCCGTTGTTTCTCCTCTTGCCTTCTGGTGCTTTGGAAAATAGGCTGACCCCCTCAAATATTGGAACACGGCTATCATGTCACCCGGGTCCTTCTTTTCAGTAGACTAGACATATCCAATGCCTGCATCCATTCTTGGTATGTTTTAGCCTCCGTAGGTTTTAGCACCCCCGTCTTCTCACCCCCAAATAATCAGGTCTCACCTGCATGATGCCCCAGGTTTCAGTTCTAGAAGCTAGCCAGCCAAGGATCTGGGCGCCTCAATAAGAACCACCTTTCCGACAGAACGGATCGAAGAGCAGGCCGAGCTGAGCTCACGAGGACCCTCCACGGACTTTGACCAAGAATGCAGATGTTGCGCTGGACCAGAGTCTGAAACACACGCGCGCCGCCTGCCAAAGAGGGGAGGAAGAAGCTCATTGGCAGAGCCCAGCGCGAGCTCTGGCAGTTGGCCGTGGGGGTCGCCACGTACTAGGAATACGCTACGCAACGCTAAGGAGGGAACAAGGAGCTCGCGTTGGAGGCCAAAGTGGGACGCGCTAATAGATGAGGAACATTTTGGGCCCCTCTTCCCCACTCCCCCACCACTCCAGCTGGCGCACACGAGTTTCCCACCGGGCTTTGGTAGGTGCGCACGCACGCGCATCAGATAAGGGCAACATCCGTCCTCCAAAATTCGCTTCCTCCCTTCGGGCCGGAAGAGGGCGCTCTCGCACCGGTACAAAAGACCTTCAATCCTCTCGGCGTGCTCGTTTCCCCGTCGTGCACCGCGCGAAGCGGGACGCCGGCGCTCTGGTGCTGGCGGTTTCTCGCTGGTGCCATTGAGGGCGGTAGTGGGCCCTCAAGGCTGCACTCGGCACCGCCGGTCCTCGCCTTCCGCCTCGCTCCCGGCCTCGCCATGTCGTGCAACTACGTGGTCACCGCACAGAAGCCCACGGCCGTCAACAGCTGCGTCACCGGTAATGGTTTGGGAGGAGGTTGGGGGGGGGGGGCTTTCCCGGGATCGGTGAGCGGGCGGCGGGGAAGAACGAAGGGAGGAGGCCGCGGGGCTCTGCGCCCCTCCGGATTTGAGCTGTGCCAATCGGACCTCCCTCACCCCGCGGCCTTTTCCTGTTCGCTCCAGGTCACTTCACCTCCGCAGAGGACCTCAACTTGTTGATCGCCAAGAACACCCGCCTTGAGATCTATGTGGTCACCGCAGAAGGGCTGCGGCCCGTCAAGGAGGTGGGCATGTACGGCAAGATCGCCGTCATGGAGCTCTTCCGCCCCAAGGTGAGCATCGCCTCCTCCGGAAGGGCAGCGCGGCCGCCTGGTAACCCTTTTTGCTTGGCCAGCGTAATACGCCTCGACCCTTTACGGCTCTCTGTCCAGAAAGGGATTCCTGCAACGGATGGGGTTGGGCTGCTGGTTCGACCGGAAAAGTTTTGCTGGTTTCGATCCACATGCTGGTGGTTAAAACCCCCGGCCCCCATGTTCATCGGGAGATCGCCGGGGAAGGCGAACTCGGTGGAAACCTGGCCTTGTGGCTTGCTAGCCCGGTGGAGGGGTATTGCTTTCTTAAAATTTCAGCCCAGTATACTGGGAAGACGCCTTTGAAAAGTTCGGGAATGCAAAGGCTTTATTTTTTAGGACTGGTGGCCTGCTGGAATTCAGCACGTTGTGATGATTGCACACAGCCAGTCTGTTGTGAGCTAATTGTGTGGACCGAGTATTTTCTTCTGGGTGATACATTTTTTGATATGGTCATGATTGGACTCAGAAATTTGCCATATTACTCCAGTATGTTGTGCTTGACTGCTCCGGATTATCAACAAAACTGAGAAGTTGGTTTTAATAGAAATAGAATAGAATTCTTATTGGCCAAGTGTGATTGGACACACAAGGGATTTGTCATTGATGCGTATGTTCTCAGTGTACATAAAAAGAAAAAAATACATTCATCAAGAATCCTAAGATACAACACTTAGTGATAGTCATAGGTTACTAAATCAGCAATCAAATCATACTAGGAAACAAAACAATATAAATTGAAAAGATACAAGCAGCAAGGTTATAGTCATAAGTGGGAGTGATATTTGAAGGAAAAAACATGTATGTTAAGCTGTTCTCAACAGTAATCTTCTCAACCAACTTTTTGTAAATCTATTTGAAAACAGTCTCGTCTGGCCATTTGAATTATGTTTGAGTTAAAATGTTTGTTAAAATTAATCTGTTGCAATTCTCTCTTGAACATCAACAGCTCCGGTGCTTCTCATGTTCTTTGATGAATTAATGTCATGTTTTACATGAAACTAATTAATATACTTTCTGATTAAATATTTTTTGTAGGAGCTTATTTATGTGCAGTTACAGAAGAAAATATTTAACAGTACTAATAGGAAGTTGTGAACAAGCAAAAGTATTTGTATTTCAGACATTTTTAATTTGAGATACACATTTTACAAAGGGAATAATACCTTGCTAATGTCTTGCAGAATGTGGAGTGTTTTTTCTTTTCTAGCTAAAACTTTTTTTCTCCTCAGGGGGAAAGCAAGGATTTGCTCTTTATTTTGACAGCAAAATATAATGCTTGCATTCTTGAGTATAAACAAAGTGGAGAGAACATTGACATCATCACCAGAGCCCATGGCAATGTGCAGGTAAGAGGAAAGTGCATTAAGTGTAATAGGTACATTGTGATTCAGGACCACATAGCAGTTTTCTGTATGTTTTGTGAACCGAGTTTGAACTTTTGGATAATGTATATTCCAAGTTAAGTAATATAAATATTACTATAAACACATGTGTTGAAATTAATGAACAGTGCAATTTGAGAATTGAGACCGTGCTTGTCTTTTTATTGTCAAATTATTGGATGGACACTTAAATTCTTCCTACTTTTCCATTAAGTCTTTGTTTCCTCCTAGTGCAATTAAAAATATATTTGTCATTGTTATGAGATCTTAAGTAGCCTTGTTTGTTCAGATAGCTATTTTATATTCTTGTGATCTCCTACAAAGTCTCACTGAATAAGTTTCAAGAAGAAAGATTTACAATCTCTCAGTTGTTAGAATCTTGTTCTACATTACTATTCTCCATAAAGGCAATTTATAAATAAGACATTTTTATATGCAGCAAAAATCATTCGAGTGGTTAGTTGTCTTGGTTCCCAGCTTTTACACTCCCCAAAGGAGTGACCACTGTGAAAAACAGGTAGCTTAATTTAGCTGACCTCTATCTGATCTAATAGGAATTTCATTTTAAGCATTTGCTTATTATTTAAAGGCCTTTTCTTGGAAAAATCAGGGTCAAAATTTAAAAATGTAAGCTATATTTAGTAACTGAACAAATCTGTCCTCATTTCTTTTCTCCCGGTTCTGTGCTGAACTAATTGGAACTCAGTCAGACTTCTCAGTTGTCTCTCCCTTCCATCCCAATGTAACTCTGGGGGAATGGATTAGTTTTATAATTGCACTGCCCTTGTACTTAAAAACATGGTCATTTATTATGTTTGGAGGAAGGAGGGGATTAGATTAATAGTTGAGTTATGTTTCAGATACCCCTACCTCACCATTTATCTTCCAGTTCCAAATTCAAATGAGATTGCTTATTTTACGTTTTCCTCCTTAAGTTCCTGGAAGCCATTCACTGACTATGAGGGTAATAGCCTACCTTTTCTCCAAGACTGGAGAAAATATGTGCTTATATTTTGATTAAATACTTATAAGTTATATTAGGAACCTCTTGTGATTTATATAAAGGCTAGGAACATTTACTCTATTGTTTTTTTAAAAAACCTACATTTAAATAGTATTTAAATACTATTGTCATGTAAAAGATAATCATTGCTTTTACTCCTAAGTTGCATTTTAGCTAGTTTAGAATAATATTTTTAAGAGGTAGAACCTGCAGGTGTATGTTTTGCAGAATAAGTGTTCTTGAGACATAATTTCACAAAGCTTCAAAACCCAATGAAAAGCCACAGTATACAAGCTTTATAGTACAGGTAATGCTTGATTACCACAATTGGGACTGCTAAGTGATACATTTGTTAAGTGTGTTGTGAGACATCACATGACTATGATGGGCCTATGACATCACCTCTGGTGGTTATTAAGCAAGATACGTCTATGACTTGTGATTTTACTGCTGGCTTCTTCCTTGACTCTGTTATTGGAAGCCGCTGTGAAGTGTGCAAATGGTGATCATGTCACTGCAGGATGTTATAATGGTTGTAAGCACCCACCAGTTGTGAAGCATCTGAGTTTTGATCATGTAAGCCAGGCCTGTCAAACTGGTGGTCCACAGGCCAGATGCGTCACACGCAGGCTATGCCCACCCCGGTTCTCTAAAGGCAAAAAATGTGGCGATATGTCACATGATGTGATCAAGTTTGACACCTGTGACGTAACCCCAGAAAAGGTTATGACAATCGTGAGGTCTGATGGAAGTTTTTCAGCACCATTGCAACAGTTGCAAACCAGAGTTGTTGTCAAGAGTGGATAATATAATGTAATATGTTTATATGTAATCTAATACAATATGTGCATAGGTAATATAAATCTTGCTTGTTTATAACTTTAAGATCTTGATCTTGGGTTGTTAAATAGCATGTATCCTGTTCAGTTTTTAAAGGAGAAAAAAATTCTACATTAATTATTTCTGTAAAATTTGATTTTTTTTTCTCTGTTAACTGTCGAGCTCTAAAATTACTTCTAAAATTAAAGTACGAAAATCAAACTAGCGTGTTTTCCAAGTATATCTATATATACATATGTAAGAACTACATATCCAATATAATATGTTGCATATTTTTTTGCACTATAAGATGCACCTAAACATAAGACCCACCTAGGTTTAGAGGAGGAAAATGGGCAATGACAAAGACAGAAGAGGCGGGGTTCAGCACTGTAAAAGGTCCCCGCAACCCCTATTTTTGACTCCATAAGATGCACAGACATTTCCATCCAATTTGGGGGGGGGGGGGAGTGCGTCTCATGGAGCGAAAAAGATGTTAATTGAAAGTTGTGGATTTAAATATATAAATGCATAAATTTAGTTTTGCAATATATAGTTTTGTCAACAGATCCATTCATGAGTTATTTACTGTGTTTTTGAAATGGCAGTGAAGGGTTCATAGTAATGACAAGATATGGGCAGAAACACCCAAAAGAGAAATGGCTGCTGATTGAAAGTCTAGGCATACATGAATGACATACATTAGCATATATTACAGTATTCATTATGAGTGAATCAACTGTTGGCTAATTTACAAAAGCCAAATTAATATATTTTAGAAGACTTAGATGCATGTTTTTTATTATGACAACAGAGATTGTTCTAAGAATATTTGATTTATGTGTTGTCCTCTAGGATCGTATTGGACGTCCCTCGGAAACAGGTATAATTGGCATAATTGACCCAGAGTGTAGAATGATTGGACTAAGGCTTTATGATGGCTTGTTCAAGGTGATTCCTTTGGAGCGAGAAAATAAAGAATTAAAGGCCTTTAATATTCGACTAGAGGAGCTACAAGTTATTGATGTGAAATTCCTCTATGGCTGCCAGGCCCCGACCATATGTTTTGTTTACCAGGTAATCAAATTGGATCTGAATGTGTGTGGTAATAAAATTGCTGAGCAAGACTAGTGGGGACAGGGCCTGA